TCGGAACTAGAAAGAACACAACATTATCAATGACACATCCAGCGGCGTCAAGTTTACAATGGAGACGGAGAAGCATAAACAACTGGCATTTTTGGACATATTGATCATCAGAACACCATCAGGAAAACTGGAGACAACGGTCTACCGCAAGGCAATACGGATCAAATCTTAAACTTCATAAGTAATCATTCACACAATCACAAAAGATGCTGTGTTCAAACGGTGTTCAGAAGAATCCAAACGCACTGCAGCACCGATATACTCAAGAGTGTTACTCAGAGTGTTTGCTCGCGATGGCTACACCCGCAACTTCATCAAAAGAACTCTGGCTCAAAGAAAGAAACAACAGGGAGAATCGGAAGCAAGAACGACCCTGCCGTACGTCAAGGACGTTTCAGAAATAACAGCACGACTGCTCAGATCACACAGAATCCAAATCGTTGACAAACCGATCGCCTGTCTAAAGGGACTTCTGTCAAAACCAAAGGAGAGAACAACGGTGGAGGGCAAGAGCAGCGTTATCTACAAAATAAACTGCAACAACTGCCCATAACACTATATCGGACAAACTGGGAGAAAACTGTCAACAATGATCCGTGAGCACCAACCGGTAATCAGGAAACATTACCGTTGATTTCCCTGCATGAAGATCAAGAAGAATACCAGTTTGACTTTGAATCAGTGAAAATTATCTACTAAGCCCGGCCAGAACACGCGTGAGAATTCCTCGAGACTTGGCAGTCTTTAATCAGCTCACTAAACAGGCACATCGAACTGGATCACGTGCACACGCCAATGCAACTCAAGGACCAAATGACGTAACAAAAACAGGTCACGCCGTGACCTGAGAACAGACCGGAAGAACAATCCCCTCCCCTCCCACTATCACTCCCTCGCACCAATTTGACGGCGAACCGAGTCGAACACAGTGAGAACAAGAGACGAAAATAGTCGGTGGAGAAGAATACATATATGTAAACGAACGGGTACGAGCAGAACACTGCCACTTCACGAGCACTGATGGTGTTACCTTGGCTGGTGATGAAACCGTTTTCGAGCACATTGCCAAGCTCGGCGAATAGGCGAAATGGAATTCAGTTCACCCGAGCTACGAGAACTGACTTTCAATACTTTGCCAACAGTTCAGATTGTGTGCCAAACAGATAACAAAGAAAAAGTCCAACATCTGCAATCGGGTGGGATACCGCAGGGCTACCCAAACCAAAGCAGGTGCGTTTTCTTGGGGAATTCACAACCGGTCTGTAAAACCGCAATCCACTGAGGGCACGATGTTCAGTTTATCGGATCGTACGCCCTTTTGGACGGGGTCAAGTGCTCAGGGTGTCCAATGCATCTCGATACCCCCATCGAGCCGGTGATCATTGCCAAAACCAGGAAGGGGTCTCTGTGTGGGGTTCATGTACCTCCTCTTGGTTGGTTTGGAATCGGGGCTTTTTTTAGCAAACTCCCCTAGGTGGACTGCCAGTGATTCACTGACTGGATTTTAGTCCCGGATGTTGGGTTCGGTGGGCAAACACGTTCGTCACAGGCCGTGAACCGGGTTTCCTCAACAGAGACTGTTTTCGAAACACTTGGTTTCAAACGAGTTTTTCGCGATATCCACTTCCAGAATCCAGTTGTTGTGTAAGAAAGAATTTCCGAGACAGGTGTCTCACCTGTGTGCAACTGACGAAGATATTTTCAGCACTAAGCAAAACACTTCAAGAACATACCAATTGCCACCCCTTTTGTCCAGTGTATTCAAACAGAAAGAATATTTGCGTCTCTTACTCTGTTTCAACAAAACCGTTATCAGGAGAGGAACCCCAATCCGAGACACCAGACTCTTACGGCATCCTCACAGCCCTATTCCAACATGGTGGAATTCGGCGAGTAAAAAGTTTGTGGATATTTTGCCAGGCTCAGAATAAACATCACTTTCCCTTTTTCTTGGGGGAGGGGGAGTCGAAATTGGATGGAGGTTGATGATCATCTCCACCTTCGGGAAGACCTCAAGCGATAATGGAGATTGACAATGTTGAATGTAGTTGAATATGTTCGTTGGTCTTTTGTACCTCGACAATGTAATAGCATTGTGCCCAGCAAAATCCGGAAAATGTATCCATGAAACTTTCGATAATTTGTCCCGCATGCTAAAAACGACATGTGATCATTTCACTTCACGCTCACTGTTTATGAGTTATCCAGTTTAATTGGATCGCTGATCAGTATATCTTTATCGCATGTAATACATTATTCATGAGTTCCTCTATTTTATTGGATCCATTCAGCTCAGACTGCTTTGTTTTTTTCATTTCCAAATATCAATCATTTTTCTCCCGTCCTGGTGTTCTAGTGGTTTACTACGACCAGTTGGATCGAGTCGGTCATTCCTCGGGTCCTTTGTCCGATGAACTTCTTCTCGACGTGTTACCACAACTGGATCAGGTGGTAGATGGCTTGGTGGAGCATTTGCGCTCACTGGATCGTGAAGTGCACTTGGTGCTCACCTCTGATCATGGAATGACAGATGTACATGGCAAAGAACTATTGGATCGATACATTTCTCGGTGCGTTGATCTCCATTCCATTCCATTTACGTTCCATGTGCCATTATGCTTCACGTACACACATTGTATCAGTATCAATCGTGTACTGATTATCCGCGTCCGAAAAAATAGCCGCCTATTCAGTCCGAGATCCCTTATCCCTGAAGACCATTATTTCGCTTGTTTTGTTTGCTAATCCATTCGACCACAGCGGGTACTTTGTAGCCACTGTCTTACGTTTTGACTACTCACAGGCATGAATCATCACCACGAACACCTTTTCTTGGGTCGTCGTGTTCGATGAGTTTACTGTCATGTCGTGTCACCCAAACCGAGTGTTCCATCTTACAGACTCCAATACTGTCTTGGTGCTCACTGGGTTTCACTTTTTACAGGGGCTGTTGAACTTGATCGTGTTTCTGTGATTCCTATCAAGTCCTGATATTTCCACATCACGACGAGACTGCACCTTGACGTGGTGTGATGGCTTGCGCTCCTCAGTGACCCTGCGAGCTACACAGGATGGCTTCTCACAGCCGTAGATCCAATCATGCCTGAAAGGTCAACGGGTAGAAGCCAGACGAAGACCAGTCTCACAAGGCCAGCTGCTTGGGCACCTGGCTTCCTTCCTCTATCCACACCCG